ATGACATATAAATAATAACGTGTTATAATACACCTTTAACTATAAATAAAGATATCTGCAATGACATAACCGACATGCCCAAAGGATTAGCGAACTGAAGTAGAGATAGGATTACCTCGCAGAATCCAAAAAGATTGTAGAGTTGAGAAAATTTGCTGCAACTTGGCCCTACCATAAGAAATACCGTTGAGTATATTATGACAACACAAACGAACTTTTCTGGACTGGGTCTCGAAGATTGTAACTTTTATATAGAGACAAAATTGTCTCCATAAGTGTTCCATGGGTTTTATAATCGGGAAATATTCAGACACTATGTCAGGAGATCCGATGTTAGAACTTTAGTCCTTTTCGAGAGAAGAAAAGCCCTTGTGTGGGATGCTTCATACGAAGATACTTTGGCAACTTCTCGTCTACCCCGGTTAGAGTGGGCTGATGGCTATTAATATAATTTAAAATTAAAAAATTTGGACAGCCGACTTCAATATAAATTATTAAGAATAACTCAAAAACTATTGGTCTGACCTTGATCAAATTCATATGGAACCACATGTGAATTACCAGCTTTCAAATAAAAAAAGAATCATCGAAATCGGTTCACCCAGTAAAAAGTTATGAGGTAACACACATAAAAAAACATACAGTCGAATTGAGTACCGTCTCCTTTTTGAAGTCGTCAGAAAAAATGCAACCAGCGTTGGCACCACAGACAAATGTGGTATAGCATTATAACGTAAATATGATATTCTTATTATCTTGTGTATTATTTTTGGAATTTTTTATGTTAACACTAAGTAATACGAATATTTAATACTTATTCAGTCACTTTTAAACTGGTTTTTGTAAAGAAATAGTAGTTTAGAGAACATTGTGTTTACAACAAATCCTATTCCTTCAAACGCATTATGCTCCAGAAACCAATCGTGAACGAATATAATTTAAACAAATATATTATTTAATTAACTTGATTATTCATAGACTATTGACACAAATATCAAAGTTGCTTAGGGCATGACCGTCATCAATGATTCATCAAGTAATTCAAACACTGTAAAGATAACATTTTACCAATGAAATATAATTTTTTATAAAACTGAATTGACACACGAATTTAGCTGTGGTTACTGCTACTACAGCCGTGGACACACGCAGCGAACTTCATACAAATGAGTTATAGCAGATGCGTTGTCACCTTTGAGGACTGAGATGGAATGTCTCACAGTTTATAATTATACCGGCTCCATAGTCTTCAGCCTAGATCTAGAATACAGCAGTGGAAGCACTGTTATTTGGCGCTACAAATAGGTACAAGCGGAGAAGACGTCCTACCATCTAGCAGTTACTTGTACATGTAAAGCAACAACTCAGTCCAATATAAACTTATTTTTTTGTAGAATTAGGGTCTTAAAAACGAACATACAGTCCACAGTAGGTGGTTGCTGTGGCCCATAGACATCTACATATATCCTCGATTACGAATCAAAATGCAGATGAGTTGTCACCCGTGAGGACTAAGATGGAATGCCTCTTTTCCAGTAAAAAGGGTCTCCGGTTCTCTACACTCACCATACGAAACACAGCAGCGTTAAGCTGCCATTTTACGCTGGTATTCTGTGAGAGCGTGGTCCTTCCCCGGTCGAGCCGACCCATTCGTGCTACAACTATACAAGTAATATAGCTGCAGCATGGCTCTACCACGTATATAACTGAGGCCTATTGAAGCTAATATCTACATCTTGTTAAATAATACGGATAAATATTGTTTTTTTTTTATAGATTTAGTCGCCACACTTGGCGGGCTTATCGGCGACCGCAGTATCAGACGTTACGTATCGTTTTTTTATATAGAATATGGTTGACAAATGAGCACACAGTCCACCTGATGGAAAGTGGATGCTGTGGCCCATAGACATTTACATCTATCACCGATTAAGAACCAAGATGCAAATGCGTTATCACCCCTGAGTAATAAAACCCAGTAAAAATGGTCTCCGCTTTTGTTACCGCACGATACAGCAGCATTAGGCTGGTGTTCTGTGAGAGCGTGTTTCTACCCCGTTCGAGGCGACCCATTCGTGCTACAACCATAATATAGCTGCAACATGACTCACCACGTATGCGTAAACGTCGTATTAGCCTAGCTGTATGGCAAAAGTAAATCCAGCAAGCCAATTCTTCCCATGAGTGTCGTAAGAGACGACTATGGGAAATGCGACCATGTTAAATGCCAGTCTTAATATTGCTTAGAATAAATGATGGTATAACAACAGGAGCGAGTTGTTTGGTGCTGCGAAAGCCAATCCGTTTTGCAAGTATGGTGACTATGGCAGACCTCCCTACGCTATGGGAGAGACCCAGCTGTTGACTGACAAAATTAAGAAGGAAGCTAGCAATGATAGCGAGATTCGCCTAGCCCTAGGTTGTTAATAAGGTTCTGTTTGATCTGATCACAATTTTAAAAACTGTTCATCTTTATCATCTCTTCTAAGTTACGTCCAGTTATCGATACCAGAAGTCTGGCACTGTCGACGCTGCTCCTCTTTGCTTTTCTTCGTATTTTACGTCTAGCCCAAACGGAACGACATACTACCATCTATCCCAAGGCAAAAGATTTTATTAGAATTTCTCTTAAGAGACAACTATGAAATTCCACCAACACTATATAAATTTGGGTGATGGATTTTCTTACGCTGTCATCACATAGCAAACCGTTTAAAGTGTATATAAATTAATGAAAATTTCACCGATATTACCTATTGTGAACCACTAAACTTGGCTTTATCTAGGATATTAAACAATACAATACGCATTAATGTACACCAAGGACAAGGAAAGATAAATATATAGATATAAAAATAAGAGAAATATTAACGGGTACCTAGTGTGTACTAAAATAAGAAAGTATACTAACTTATGTACAAATAGACAAACATACACTTTAGGTCTACCACCTATCAGTGAATAAATAAAAGGAGGAAGAGAGAGGGGTTAGGTTAGGTTAGGTTAGGAAGACTACTGCTGCAGCCGAGGTGGAGTCGCGGGCGAAAGGAGTGCTGGTATGGCGATGCGCCACTCGCCCTATCCTCCGCGACTCTGACGGGACCGCACTGTTGATGCGGTGGTGGTGGGGCCGCGGGGGGAGAAGGAGTGTCGGTATTGCGAGCCGAAACTTGGTTGGCTGCGGAGCCAAAGACCAGATCCGCCGCTGTGGTTTGGAAAACGGGTGCTACGAGTGCTCGATTTTCCTGGCCCCATGGCCTCCGCGTATCGGACTCGGGGGAGGGTGGCGTTACGTAGGAAGTCGTGCCATGTGTTCCTGATGCGCCTTGCCTATCCTGAGAAGGAGAATGGGGAGCAAAAGTCCTCTCCAGAGGAGGGGCTGCCAAGGGACGGCCAGCGCTGGTGGGGCCGCGGATGTGTGCGAAAACTTTCCCGTGGCCCTGGCAATATACGCGAAGGTGGAACACCATGGGGTTTTAGTATGCGTAGGCATTTCCTCATGTAAAAAAAGGTTAGGAAGAGAGAGAGGTTAGAGAGACAAATAGTGTTCCTTAACCTATTTCTTGTACAAATGTATGAATGTGTTATTGAGCAATTTTAATCGACTGGGGCAAGGAGTTCCAAAGTCTTATGGAGTAAGAACAGAGAAAGATTATCATAAAATTAAGAGGTGTGCACATATAATAGTCATACGTTATAAGATAGTGACAGTTGATAACATGATACTTTTAATTTTATCAGCAAATGTAATGTTAAGTTGTTACACCTCACAACGGAGATTGCGGGCTAATTATGTGTGTTTGTTAATAAACATACATACATACATACATATAATCACGCCTTTTTCCCGTAGGGGTAGGCAGAGACCAGTTCTTTCCACTTGCTACGTTTCTTACATACTTGTTTTGCTTCGTCCACTTTCATTATTCCCTTCATACATGTTCTACGGTTTAGGGTACTCTTGACATGGCCTTTTTTCGAGACGTCCCTGATTTGGTCTAGAAATGTCCGCCTATGTCTACCCCTTCCAACACTTTCATTCACACTCGCCTTATACACTTTTTTCGTCAATCGTTCTTCATTCATTCTCTCGACATGGCCAAACCATCTCAGCATACCTTTCTCAATTTTTGTCACTACATCTTCTTTCTTAATAAACGTAGAGTGAAAATATTACGATAAGTGACGTTGGAATGTTGTGTAGTCGATTTCGCTTCGTGTCCAGAACTCATCGTCTACTGTTTGTTAAGAGTCCACTGCTGACAATACCCACTTCACACACAGTTGCCCGTTAGGGGGATATTTGCCAGGTGGCAATACTTAACACAAAGTTATGCTCTAGAATCTAGAGCATAACTTTGTTGTAGTTGTTGTTTTTAAGTAAAACATTTCCAATCATATATTTTATATTCAAAATATCATCATCGTCAGCATCATGACAACCCATCAAAGTCCACAGCTGATCATGTCTTTCAATAGATTGCCTCATAAGGTGGATTTTGCCTTGGTGGCCACGCTCGGCAAGCAGGTTGTTATTTTAAGTTGTCATTTAGGAGATGCTACAGTTTCAATTTGCCCATCTCCTGTTTTAGTTTCCATCTGCCGCACTACACAATGATGTATGATGCAATTTAAAAACTCGTTACAAATTAATGAAGTACTAATGTGGCGACTTGATGGAACTACTTTGCGGTTGCTTGAGAGACCCTGGTGTTGCGTTTCGACCTCGAACGCCGCATCCTTAGCGTCGTGTTTGAATGTTATGATATTCTTATTTTTAATTTAGGTTAACCCTGTGTAACGTGGTTGCAACTGTGGTTTTTTTTTAATGTACATTTAAATAATTACATTTTGATCGTCTTGTAAACATCACTTAAAATTAAACTACTTGTTGTTGACATCGAAAATTAAACTTATCTTTAAGTAGATTATGAGTCCGCTCCTAGCGGTTCTCTTTACTCATGTGACATATAATATAAGATGAAATTTAATTTTTCCAGTGGCGGCAGAATGACCGAATCGCCTATCGTGAGGGTGGAGCAGGGCGCCCTGCAGGGTCGCGTTGTCAACAGTCCCTCAGGGAAGGCCTTCTACAGTTTCCAGGGTATCCCCTACGCGAAAGCTCCTCTAGGCTCGCTTCGGTTTAAAGTAAGTAAATGCATTAATCCTTTAAAATATTACAATATAATGTGCTCCGGTTTTTAAGGCAAACATCCAGACTGGAAACAATTATTTGTAGGGTATATTCATTACAGCCCTTTACAAGTTTACTGCCGAACATAGGCCTCCCCCAAGGAATGCTACAAAGCACAGTCCCGAGCCACCTGCATTCATCGACTTCTTGCATGTCTTACCAGGTTGTCACTCCATCTAGTGGGGGGCACAATTGTTTGTTTGTAGGTTATATACATACAAACAATCGTTCCGTGCGAGATTCGAACCTGAGGCATTGTAAAGACAGTACATTACTGAACGTAGCCGTCTATTTAATTTAATTTATCTTTAAAAAGTTGTTAATTGTTACAAACGTCCCTTAACTTGCCAAGCGTACCGATTATGGTGAATCAGAAACATGGCACTGTTTACACGCTGACAAAGAAAAGATGTAATGCATCTAACGTCTGATTCTATTAATTATATGTAAATTAGTATATTGTTGTTTAAGAGAAATACCCTCTCAAATGCCAACTTCATCTTGATGCGGTGCTCTCTTCTAACTAGTGAATGGGCCCAGAGACCCGCGATCGACAAATGGCGGTATATTCATTCGACAATTAAACTTCGAAATTCGTATACCGCACGGAACAAGTATTTGTATGGCCTACATATAAGTTCCGCGTCTGGATGTTTGTCCTTATGCAAGTTATGTATGTAAACTGCCTCCACGGTACAGGAGCAAATCCAAATTTTCAATAACAATTTCCGAAATCTGTTCATGTGTAAATTAGATTTTTTTAGTTTTGAATTCGGGTTGTACTTTATATTAAATCCTTTAGATTGATCTAGAAGGTTATATCACAATTGCAAGGCAACAACTACAATGCCGCCTAAATAGTTTTATTAAAATTTTCATCCCCTATTTTAAATGGGACGATCCCTAAATTATAACCTATTTTATAAAAATAGAATCATTTAAATCAGTCTGACATTTTTTTGTAGAATAAGGGTGACAAACGAGCACACAGTCCACCTGATGGTAAATGGATGCTGTGGCCCATAGACATCTACATCTATCTTAGTTTTCGAATTAAAATGCAGATGCGTTGTCACCCTTGAGGACTAAAATGGAATGCCTCGTTTCCAATAAAAAGGGTCTCCGGTTCTCTACACGCACCATACGAAACACAGCAGCATTAAGCTGCTATTTTACGCTCATATTCTGTGAGAACGTGGTCATTCCCCGGTTTAGCCGACCCATTCGTGCTACAACCATAATATAGCTGGACTGGAATAGTGCCCAAATCTTGGAAGCTGGCCAATGTGCAGCCTGTGCCTAAAAAAGGTAGCCGTACCGACTCTGTCAACTATCGGCCAATTTCAATTACCTCCATACTCTGCAAGATTATGGAGCGTATATTGAACACCCACCTCATGGCGAGATACCAGGGCCAGTCGGGAGCAAATCCATTCCGAATGAGGGGCTATGGTTGAGCATGTGAATCTCACACTACAGGCAGTCTCCGAATGGGGCGATGCCAATCTCGTGAGATTCAACGCCTCCAAAACACAAGCGTGTCTTTTCACCGCTAAAAGGAGCTCGCCCACCCTGGCACCTACTTTCCGGTATGTTTCCTTGGAGTGCACAGACCGCCTTCAGTTGTTAGGGGTTGAGTATTCTTCGAACCTCAACTATGGGCGGTCCATTGAGTCCAGAGCCAAAGCAGCCGCAAGGTACTTGGTATCCTTGCAAGGGTGCGGCGGTACTTCACGCCGGGGCAGCTTCATACCTTATATGAAGCGCAAGTCCGGTCGTGCATGGAGTACTGCTGTCACATATGGGGTGGTGCTGCAAAATGCCACCTGGCAACGTTTGACTCAGTGGAGAGACGTGCTAAGAGGCTCATTGGTGACCTTGATTTGGTTGAAACCAATCTTGTCAGCCTCGAGCACAGGCACAGAGTAGCCAGTAGATGCATTTCGGTGAGTGTGCGCAGGAATTACACGCTTTAATTCCTCCCTCTCCTTTCCACCATTGGACGACCAAGCGGTCGGCGGGTCTTCACCCCTTTGTCGTCGATATTCCACACATTAGAGTCACCTAACACAAGCATCTCTTTGCTTAAAAGGTGATCTCCAAACCCTGTATCTTAAAGCTTTATGTAATTGAAATAAACATTTTTATTTTATTTTTTATTAGAACCAAACGTTTTACTTCTACTTTTGTAATGCGTACAGCAAAGGAGTGGAATAATTTGCCGACGTCTATCTTTCCGTCCGAATACAATATGGGCGTCGTCAAGGCAAGAGTGAATAGGCTTTTGTTACGCTAAGACAGTGAGTGCGATTTACCATCTAGGGCTGCATCATCACTTACCACCAGGTGGGACTGTGGTCAAACACTGGTTTATAATAATTAAAAAAAAGCTAAATCGTGGTTCTACCAAGTAAAATACATATACAGAACCTTCTCGTTTTTACCACGTTTTTATTAACTCCCCTTTGTATAATATGTCTGTTCGGGTGGAATTTAGTAAATGATTTTAAACTAACTTCGAAATCGAAATCGAAATATGTAAAAATATATGAAAAAACGTGGTATATTTTTTGTTACCTCATTAATTATTTGAACACGGTTTAAACCAATAAACTGCAGCAACGCCATTTTACCACGTGGTAATTTGTGATAATTTGATGATAAAGAAGTGTAACTTCTTTATCATCGTAGTGGAGAAGTCGAGTACGGTATTAAAAATCAAATACGTCACGTTTTCTTGTAACGTTTAGATGTCACGTTTCAGCGCCGGAGTTGCATGAGTAGAGTATATACTATTATTTAACTTACTTAAGTAAAATATAAAATAAAATAAAAATGATATGTCGCAAAGAAGTTTCACTTCGTACGTGTGTACACAATTACACGCTAACTTTTAATATATTATACACACTATACAGTTTTCACATTGTTTCTATATTATTTCATTTACGAAATTAAAATAATTCTCTCATACATTTTAATAATCGTCGGCTTTACCAGATGCCAGCGTACGGTGGCTGAGTAAAACGACAATAAGTCAAAGTCAACCTGTAAAATTACATAACTTCGCTTTTCTCTTATCAACTAAAATGCCGACATTTCGACTGAGTGTCATTTAAGTTTGGAATGCGATTTGTTCTTTCAGTTTTTTCGGTTTATCTGACTGTTTGTCATTGTTATTTTTATTGCTTGTGTCTCAACATGAGATTACACCGGTGACTGAATTTAAAGAACATGGCAAAAATAAATTTCTAGAGTCTTAAACTTGTTAAGTAAAACATTATCTAAATAAAAAATTTAATTGTTAGAGCAGTACTTAGACATTCAGGTTTCCTCATGTTCTCTTTCACCGCTGGTGAAGCACGAGGTAAATCAGCACTAACAATTGCATTTAATAATTTCTTTGGTGCCGACGGTTGTTAGTGTGAGCCTTAGTTCCTCATGTCAGCTACTGCTACGGCTCTGGAAACCCTCCCAAAAATTAGAGAAGGTCTCTTAAGGTTATGTAGTACACGAACAAACAGAGTTCGAACTGTCCCGGTTTCATTGAAATTGTTCGTGAAGTGAGCTGCACGTCTAAGGAATTACAAAAAATATTTCGTACACATGCAAAGTCCACCCACCCTTTGGGGTCGCATGTCGGACCCCAAAGGGTGGGTGCCCAGCCGAAGTATGTTACCTTGGTAGCTTAGTTTAGAAGATGATTTTATGTGAATTGGACAATTTTTTTTTATAGGATATGGTTGTATATTTATCCTCGATTACGAATCAAAATGCAGATGCATTGTCACCCGTGAGGACTTAGATGGAATGCCTCGTTTCCAATAAAAAGGGTCTCCGGTTCTCTACACTCACCATACGAAACACAGCAGCATTAAGCTGTTATTTTACGCTGGTATTCTGTGAGATCGTGGTCCTTGCCCGGTCGAGCCGACCCATTCGTGTTACAACTATACCAGAAATATAGCTGCAGCATGGCTCTACCACGTATAAAGGATTATAGGAAATATTTTTATGTACTCCTTTTTTACTTTCCATTTTTTTTATTCGTGGACTAGCTGTTTCCCGCGACTTCGTCTGCGTCAAATTTAAGGTTTTAATATTTTTGCGCGGAACCCGAATTATATTTCTAAAATAAAAGTAGCCTAAGTTAGTCCTTATAACATCAGCTATCTGCCAGTGAAAGTCCCGTCAAAATCGATCTAGCCATTTCGGAGATTAGCTGAAACAAATAGACAGACAGTATACACTTTCATATGTATTTAGTAAAAATCTGTTATTTTGATATTACAAATCAAAATAACAGATCAATTTTATTTATTTGTATAGAGGTATTAATCAATAAATTGATTGTTGCAAAGTATGAACACGTTAGGTAACGTAAAAACCCGTGTCGTGATGTTGGCGGAGACGATGGATCGTTTATCACATTTACAGCAATGCTATCGAGATGTTTGCGGAGATTAAACGCTATCGTAGTTTACACGTACGCCGTATGATGTTTTTCAGGTGTATCACATTTTGCAGTATTTGTCAAATGCTTTCGATAAAGTGTATACAGTTTGTTTTCTCTTTTTTTAACAAGTAAATTATGTAACCTAGCAGTCTTTGCAACATATTTTTAACAGATTTCGAAAAAAGGAGGTTCTTAATTTGACTGTACCCGTATGGTTTTTTTTTATTTTCTTCAAGTGGAATCGATTTTGAAGATTTTTGTATTACGTACTAGCTGTTCCCCGCGACTTCGCCTTCGCGTAATTTAGAATTTTAATTTTTTATTCCTTATAATATCAGTTATCTGGCAGTGAAAATCCCGTCAAAATCGGTCCAGCCATTTTGGAGATTAACCGGAACAAACAGACAGACAGACAAAAAGTACCGTATATACATACTTTCATATGAATTTAGTAAAAAGCTGTTATTTTGATATTACAAACAAACACTTCAATTTTATTTATTTGTATAGATGTTACACTTCAGCGGTGGTCCTATATAGGAGAAAATATCCCACCACTAAGGGTGCAACATAGGGGATTAAATGTAACTATGTAGGCGACATTGAAATTATGATATTCCTTATTCCACTCAAAAGGGTAATATAATTAACTTCTTCTAAAAGTAAAATCCGACTTCAAAGAACTAATATAAATAAAATAATGTCACGTCAAAGATGTTTTATAGGTCCAGATACCGTGTTGCTAACACACCGCAACGTTCATAATGAAGACAGTCTTTGATTCATGTGTGCGTGAGTACCACGTGACGCGCCATGGCTGCATTAATGTGCGTGACATCGGTAATAACAGTGCGAATCGATTACCCAAAAAATGTGGGAGATTTTATATTTAATTCCTATTGACGTACCTATTGATTCTAAGAGTATAAAATGTGTGTGCGTGGCGTGTGCATTTGTGTGTGTGTGTGTGTGTGTGTGTGTGTGTGTGTGTGTGTGTGTGTGTGTGTGTGTGTGTGTGTGTGTGTGTGTATGGGGATATGGTTGCTTATGTGTGTTTTATGTAGGTACGAACATCGCACTAAAATATTGAAGATATGTAAAAAAACCTATAATTAATGTAACAGTTAAAATAAATAAAAAAGCACTGTAGATATTTATGTATGTAACATATATTTATAATCTATTATTACTAAATATATACAGAGTACTACACTTTTGTACTGTAGAACACAAAATATTGACACTTTTTACGAAGACATTAAATTATTTTTCAATCCTAAGTAAAATGACGAAAAAAAGTAAGTTTGGTTAAGCGTAAACTAGGCCAAGAGATAGCAAAATGTTTATTTTTTTTAAATTGCTCCGTTCCGTTGCTGCGTGAAGGAAGGACAAAAACAAATTAACAAAAAAATCACACTTTCACATTTATAATATTATATTAGTATGAATTGTCAAGAATGATAGATAAACTTTTAAAACCGGTTTACAATCGGCTTTTTGAGGGTGGAACTATACCGGTTACACTATAACGGTTCTGAGTGACCAAAAAGGATAGAAGCACAGGAAAGTGCAATTTCATGCTGTCAGATGTAGTTCAACCCTAACCCTTAAAACGGTTTAACTCTATAGGTTGGGCAAAATCTGTAAAATTAGACTGTTTAAAACCCCTATACAGATAATCTTTGTGGTTGATCATGACATTAAAAAATGGTAAAAACATTTCATAGACTAGGCAACACTCGAATATTATTGCGCAGTATTATTACTTGTATTGACATTTAGCTTTCGTATTCTTTTACAAAGAAATACACCATAAAATTGTATAGTTACTTATGAAAAGTGATGTTCTTATCCTTATCTTTTTTCCAAGAGTAATTTTTAAATGATTTCACAGCACAAACAGTCATTTTGCGAAATTAAAAACACCGGTGCGTGACCTATATTCACAGCGAACGTCGCTGGCGTAATGGCGGAACGATCGAACGAATACGCCAATATTGGCGCCTTTGAAATGGAAGCGTTTTAGTTGCGCGTACACGGTATCTGGACCTATAAAATATCTTTGTGTCACGTATAGTTGCCGGCGTCTAACTTGGCAAGATTCGTTATATGCGCAGAAGTCGTTTTTTTGATCTCTTTGGTTATCAAGCGGGGCGCGGGAACGAAGTAGCATCGTTCCGAGCGCCCGATTGGTTGGCCAGTCGACTTCAGAGCGCGCCATTGGTTGGCCAGTCGACTTCCGAGCGCGCGATTGGTACATCCCGTTGTACATACGCAAACTTTCCCCCACTACGCCAAAACCTTGCCAAGTTAGTTGCCGTATACTATACTGAACTCAGGGGTTTAACTCTTCTATACACTGTGCCTTAGCTAGATTTCAGAATGTGAAATTTAAAACTTTGAAGTCGTCTGTTATTAAGTTATTTTTATTGATAGACAATACAAAGGTCAGATTTTTAGTTTTTCTTATCGAGGCTTGCACATTCTACTATCCTGGATGTCGTGAGAGGCGACAGAGAGAAACAAACCAGAAAATGGGCAGCAGCGTCTTTCCTAATAACGCCAAAACAATCTGGGATTGCCAACCCGCCTGCCAAGCGTGGCCACCAAGGCAAAATACACCTTATGAGGCAATCTATGGAAAGACATGATCAGCTGTGGACTTTGATGGGTTGTCATGATGCTGACGATGATGATATTTCGAATATAAAATGTGTGATTGGATAACAAAGTTATGCTCTAGATTCTAGAGCATAACTTTGTGTTAACTATAGAATTGTATCTGATAATTTAAAATTATATTTCAGGCTCCCCAGCCTCCTGAACCCTGGGAGGATGTCCGCGACGCCACATCGGAAGGCAACGTTTGTACTCAAATAGAACCGTTACTACTCAAACAATACACGGGAGATGAGAACTGTCTCTTTCTAAATATTTACACTCCAAACCTCGACGGCCAGTTCCTACCAGTGATGGTGTTCATTCATGGTGGCGGATTCATGTTCGGTTCAGGCAGCTCTTCCATGTATGGTGGTGATTATCTAGTCGAAAAGGACGTAGTGGTGGTGACGATTAATTACAGATGCGGGCCTCTCGGTTTCCTTTGCTTAAACACCCCTGAAGTGCCGGGAAACGCTGGTCTAAAAGACATGGTGCAAGCTATACGCTGGATCAAAGAGAACATTCAGAATTTCGGTGGCAACCCCGGGAACTTGACGATATTCGGCGAGAGCTGTGGTGGGGTTGCCGTTTCAATGCTCACAGCTAGTCCTTTAACTAAGAACTTGATCAGCAAAGCGATCATTCAGTCCGGGACGGCCTTAAATAGCTGGGCGTTCCAGAGCCATCCACTGGACAACGCGAAAGCATTAGCGAAAGCTCTAGGCTGCGAATCTGGTGATGTAGATGAGATCCTAGAGTTCCTCTCGACAACACCTGCCAAAGATATTGTAGAAGCGACGTCCCTTCAACAGTTTGAAGAAAATTTCTTCCAAAAAGGTATTAATACGTTCGCGCCAGTCATCGAAAAGGAGTTCCCTGGCGTGGAAGCAGTATTGACAGAGTCATTCATAGATTTACTAACCTCAGGTCGTGTGGCCGAAGTGCCAATCATGATTGGCTCAACGACCCTCGAGTTTACCAGAGAAAGAACCGCAGATGACTTGCAGTCGTTCATCCCGTCGGCTCTGAACTTGGAGAAGGACAGTAGCGAATCACTGGCTATCGCTGAACAGATCAAGAAATTATACTTTAAAGGAAACCATACAGGTGTTGAGAGCTTAACCGAGAGATTCCAACTGCTGTCAGATGTCCTGATGAATATAGACACACACAGATATATCCAATACTTAGTAAATACCACCAACAAACCCATATACTATTACAAGTTCGATTACGTGGGTGAGTTGAATTTGTCCAAAAAACTTGTGGACAGTCTGGATTTAAAGCACGCAGGTCATGGGGATGAGTTGAGTTACCTCTTCAAGAACGACTTCCAGAAGGACGTGGAGCCCACTACGCAGGACACAAAGATGAGGGAGAGGATGCTGAGGCTCTGGACTAACTTTGCTAAAGTTGGGTACGGTGCAATTTTTATAATCATTTTGGATTACTAAATTAAGATCATTATTCCATTTCTTATGCAATCTACAGCTTTAGTTGTTTTTCGTCGTGAGTTATCAAATTATGTTGTTACTAATATTAAAATCAAAAACACTAAATGGTAGTGTGGCAGCATATTGCTGCTGTGTTTCATATGATGAGTGTAGAGGTAGTAGGAGAATCGGAGACCCTTTTTACTGGAAACGAGACATTCTATCTTAGTCCTCAGGAGTGAACGCATCTGCATTTTGATACGTAATCGAGGTGTCTATGAGCTACAGCATTCATTTACCATCAGGTGGACTGTGCGCTGGTTTATCACCTTTATTTCTATAAAAATCTGAATAGATTACCTCAGCCTGTAACTATACGTGTTCCTCGTGCCGCTCAGAAACGGAACACGACACTGTATTAAAAAAGATCGGTACTGCAATCTCCAAAACTTACTATAAACGTATAATCCACACCAAGTTTCGGTCACAGAGGCTAGTCTCAACGGAGACATCTGCACATGATAGGACAGTGCACAAGTGTGTGCGCAGGCACGGGTGCATTCTCTATTCACTCACTCTCATAGTACGATGGGACGGTAAACCGACACGACCGGAGAGAGATCAGGCGCAGGACCAAAGACTTTACGTGCTTTCCGAGGCACGGGGTTAAACGCCGCCAAATTCCTAACACCTTCAACCCTGAAGTAATCCAGTATTGAACTTGGGCCTCTTCATTTAGGGAAGATTGCCATACCGCGCTTGGCGGGCGGGTTGGCAACCGTAACACAAATCTGACATAGTTACTATTAGTGGGCTATATGATCTCCGCCAAGTAAAATAGTAGTTAACAATTTCATTGGTACCATCGAGAATCGAAGGTGGCTTGTTTGCGTACTGTAAAATTTACAACGAGCGCCCCTGCAGAACATAGGCCTCCACCATAGATTTATTTATTGGGGGGGGGAGGGGTTGGAATTTGCCATAGTTGCCACGCTTTTCAGGCGGGTTGGAAAACGCTGCTGGTTTGTTTCCCTCTGTCGCCTCTCGACACTCATGGGACTTTATGGGGTAGCGGATATTCTTACAACGCCACTACACTATGAATATGTAAAATATTTAATGTAAATAAATCAAATGTGTCAATTTTCAGAAACCCAACCCCGGACGAAAACCATTACTTGACGGTGACATGGCTCCCGGTTACAAAGGACAACCTGTACTACTTGAAACTGGGCAATGAGCTGTCCCTCGAAACTAACCCAGATAAGGAGAAAATGGAGTTTTGGGACGATGTCTACAGCAAATACTTCAAGATCTGGGACCACCCGCATACCAACACCGTAGAAGTACCCACGAAAGTAGAAATTGTCAATTACGTTAAACACGAGAGCTCGGGAACTATCGTTGTGGAAGAAACTACTGTGGAAACCATGGTTCAGATTATCGAACAAACTCAAGAAGAAGTCCAAACAGTTTCAGAAACAGAACCAGAGTCCGTACCAGAACCGCAGTCCGTACCAGAACCACAGCCCGTACCAGAACCACAGCCCGTACCAGAACCACAGCCCGTACCGGAACCAGAATCCGTACCAGAAATACAGTCAGTACAGGAAACACAATCGGTACCAGAATCACAACCTGTACCAGAACCGCAAATAGTCCCTGAACCCCAATCAAAGGCAGTTCCTCCGGTTGTGGTGCAGGCTTCTTCCCACAACGGAGTGAAAGAGTACCAGGTCAACGGAAACTTGGAACAGAGGAAACCTAGAACATCTAATGAAATTAAGATGGTTCAGCAAAGCAATGGACATCCAAAAGATGTCATCAGAGCTAACGACCCGCCCGAAGACGATCTACCCAAAAACATAGGAGTCAACAAATTCGTCAATTTCTTCGAGTCCCTCGGCGGGAAGAAGTGATGTCAGTCCGTGCTGCTCATAGACTACACATATTTTTCTTTAGTATTACAGTATTTATAAAAACATTCCTTTATTAGTTAAGCTATATTGTATATTGCGGTAAAATCTTTTTGTAAATTATTGTGATACAAATGTTGCTTCATCTCATTTCATCACAACCTCATATAGAAGAAAAATAAATAAAATATATAAAATATTTTAAATTGGATGTAATAACTAAATAATTTGTTTACTGGTATTAAAAAATATTATAGTGATGTTCAGTGCCTTACTTATTTAATTGCAGAATGCACACAGTCAAAAAAAAATCACGTAATTATTCGCGCAATAACTTTTTTAATCATGGACACTATAATCAAAAGATTTATTATATTATGACCTTAAATTATAATCAAAAATATTCAGAACGCTACCAGCCATTGCAATTGTAAAATTCGCGTGCCGTATTCGCGAATAAATTTTCCACTTTCGTTGTTATATAACATTGGTATATTTATTTTTAAGTGTAGATAACCCGTGCCAATAACGAACTTAGTTGTAATTAATGATTTCATTTTAATTACTGCGTAGTGAATATGTAATGAGAATGTGTATTTTTATATAATTATAATGGTTGAAAATAAATCATGTAAAGTATGTACTGCTATAATTTTGTTTTATTTTTACTGGTTTGTTAAATACTAGCTTTTTACCCGCGGCTTCGCTCGCGTGGTCTTCAATTTAGAAACATCATTAAATGCTATTCCGTGCCAAATTTAGCAAAATTAGATCACTTTTAGAGTCACTTCGGTGTCTGTGTCCCTATGTCAGTTTGTTAAGGATTTTTTTTTGAATTCCCAAAGAATATTGGTAACCAAATTATTGATATTTGGCATATATATAATATAATATGCTACAGGAACACGTGAATAAATAAGTTTTTCAGAATTGCATTAATATCTTATGTCTAGAAACATCTGCAATTTTTTATATTAGACGTGTCTTCCGATGTAGCCATAAGAAAAATAAATTGTCTTAGAATCAAAATTTATTATTAATATTTACTCTTTCTTTATATTCATTAATAATTAAAGTTAATTTAGTTTTAACAAAATAATAATGATATCTGAGCATTCGATTCCTATTATTGTTCCCATTTAATATTGATTGGCACCATAAAATATATTCCGATATTTTTTCTACGTTGTACTATACACTCCATACTACGTTGGAGTAGACTTCAAAATATCATAAATGTAGCAAACTATCACCCGTATTCAAGAACGATACTATGCGTGCGCACAATAGGCTTTAACGCACAGTAGACGAAATTTTGTTTCATAAACGTCACTTGAGTGTTAGACGACACTATGCGCTCATCAAAATGAACGCACAGATTAAGTAGCTCGCTAGCTACTTTACGCTACGCATAGTGCGACAAATCAACGCAAATGTCCAACTGATATGGGGTATATAGCTTGTTTGTTGATTTGTGATACGCTGATTGGTTTTGTTTGAATAATTGCAATGGATTACAGCAGCGAAGATGATTTTGATAATTATATCCTGGAGAGAATAAACGTGCAAAGAACGATTAGCACAAGAAAAGTGATACGTGACTTTCAAAATCTTTTTGATTATTACAGTGCCAATGAATTTTAAAGTCTCTTAGGTTTTCAAAAAATATCGTAATAAATATACTTCTGCCTCTAATAAATGCAGATCTTTTGAAAGTTACCAGTAGAGGCCTTCCAGTGCCTCCTATTTACCAGTTACCAGTGGCCTTAAGATTTTATTCATCTGGGAGTTTCCAGGTTTGTAATAATAATTCAGTTAATCTACCTATCAACAGTTTCAAATCCACATTATTTTAATAATACTTATGCATAAGTACTCTATAACAACGGTACCAGTAACGTCTTTTACCTGAAAGAAAACAACACGTGTTATTATTTTTTATCTGTCATACAACTCTAGTGAAGTCGCATCACAACGTTAACCAATCACGGCGCCCCATTCACTGCTATGTGTCCGCACAACAAAGGGTCCGCTAAGTATTGTTCATGAAATGAACGGCCTGCCATGACGGACGCAGTGAGAAATGCCTTACTTAGCATAGTGTTGCTACCATACTTATGTATGTATCGTTTGTGAATACGGGCCTAGACATCAGTAGGACGTTAAATAACTCAGCCCCCCCCCCCCCCCTCTATGGGTTCTTTAAAATGCCCGAAATATCAGAAATTAAAAAAGTTTAAATTAAACACGATAAAATCCTTAAGGCTACTCTTATTGCAAATTAAGTTTTATTCGCAGTGAACGTGAGTAGAACTACACTCATGATCATGATCGGAAGCAGAAAAATGTTTGCCTTGTCGTGGCGGCCAAAGAGAATCCGCCATATCATATCGTTCCGTGTTTCCTAAATGGCGATAGGGGAAAACAAACAGGAAATGGGCAACATCATCTTCCTGACCACAGTTCAAAATAATTAAAGGCTGCGGTTGCCAACCTGCCTGCCAAGCGTGGCAACTATAGCAAATATCCAGCCTATTTGATAATGTATGAGGGACCGGGGCAGGTGTATATTAAGTTTAGTGGACTTTTGATAAGTTGTAATTATAACGGTGATGAGTTCTATTCTTTCGAATCTTTGCTACCGTTAATATTTACGGTAGTGTGAAAACAAAAACGTAATATCTACGAAAATATGAATGATATAAAACATCATAATTGCCCCATTAAAACTAATACAATCATGCTATGTATCTTTGATGTTTAAAGTATTTTTTCGCAACAGCCTGTTGTTCATTTACATATCTCTTACATGATATGCGGTGGGTATAACAACTGCGGTGGGATCGTCGCTTACGTAAAAAAATTATGGAATAGTGAAATTGCACTTCAGGTACATAAATTGGATGACTCTGATAGTCTCCTCATAAATATAAATAACAATCTTACAGTCCTAGGAATTTACCGCTCTCCTTCCTTCTCAAATACCGATCGATTTATTTTCTCTTTAGACTCTGTACTCTCTGACATTCAACACAAACGAACCCTATTAATTGCAGGTGACATTAATATTAACGATCCAATGAGTTCAAAAGCAGCCAACTATTTATGCTTGATGGCATCTCATGGTCTATATCCAGCGATATCAAAGCCAACTAGAGGAGCCTCATGCCTTGACCACATCTTCATAAAATCTGAGACAAAGTCCTCAGGCCTCGTCTGCAAATCATCTATTACGCATCATGATTTAGCTCTGGCTGAAGTTCTTTTGCAAATCCACCGACATACAAGTACGCATGATGCGAAAAACGGACTGGGAGTCGGTTGCCTCATATATCATACTCGACTCCATGTCGTATCGTGATACAATATGGTTGTATCATCTGCGTAAGCGATTACATTTGAATTAGACAATTTTTGTTCGAGAATATCGTTCAAGTACAGAGTGAAGAGAGTAGGTCCAAGGTTACTGCCCTGGGGAACGCCAAAATTAACATGCAGTTGCCTACTATATAGTGTGTTTTCCTACTTTTATGCACTGTTTTCGCATTATAAGGTAAGTTTCAAACCATTGTAGTGTATTTCCCCTTACTCCAGAGGCTTCTAGCTTTTTCAAGAGGAGGCCAACAGATACAGTGTCAAAGGCTCGCGACAGGTTGAGAAAAACACCTATGCAACATTTCCCACTCTCCACGTGTTGTGATATCTGGTCAGCTAGTGCTGCTACAGCGTCGTCGGTCGATTTTCACTGTCGAAAACCATATTGCTTATCCAAGATAATCCGAAATTTATGTAGAAAACGAGCAAGTTGCCTGTTCATTATCTTCTCTAGAATTTTCGATATGATGCTAAATAAAGAGATTGGTCTGTAGTTTTCCGGAAATGTTGGAGAGCCATTTTAATCCGAGACGGTACTCAATTCGACGCGTATGTTTTTTTTTATGTGTGTTACCTCATAACTTTTTACTGGGTGGACCGATTTCGATGATTCTTTTTTTTATATGAAAGCTGATACGTCTCTGAAACTGTGCACAGGGCTCCTCATTACCTACAGTGTTTTGTGGACAGAAAAGAGTATGCCACAATCCTTCAATGCGTATTAACGGTTTTCACATTTCTACAATTTTTTTTAACTACGCGGACATTTAGGCTTGCTACGAAGTTATTCTTCACTTCAACGGATACGTATTAAGTCAGCACGTAAAATTTCCAATAATAAATTAATTTGTCCTCAAAGGACTCGTACACGTTTTGCTTCCGTGCCGTGATGAAATCTCACAGCGAGCTATACGGCTCTCTATTTGTTTAAATAAAAATTCATAAAAACTGAAACAAAGCTTTTGTACGATTGTTAACCATATTTACCTAGTAATTGGAAACTCAACGATGCCACGAACTATTCCATCAAATAGAGATAAAATCTCACAGTGAACTTAATTTTCAATTATTTACATCAGATAACGTGATAACATATAAAGTTGGTAAAATGAAACCTATGCCGACAGACAACCAATATATTCAACTAAAGAGCTTCTCTCTTAATCTCAGTTTTGTGTACACGTGTTGTGTATAACAGTGTTGTATGACCATATTCTCGTGAAATAGCAGTTGTGTTTAGCTATTAATATCGTTCAACGATCTCTATTCATTGATTTGGCAAAGCTATATCATGACACGGTCAACAAACAGTGATAGACATGAAATGACACCATTTCAAGAATTTTGCAATAATTGCAGGCAGACCAGTTTTAATCAGTTTACATACAGATATAGCATTAAACGTATGAAAATTGATATGTTTTTTAATTCAAAAAATCATCAATTTTCATACGTATGATAGAATAAAAATTTGAAAATAATAGGTAATAGTGACAACTATTACTTATGTATTATTTTTAAAATTTTAATGAAATAACGATTAAATTAAACGTTAGGGTTTTAAAGTAATTTTATAAATATAATTATTTAAACATATAAATGTAAGTTATTTAATTTATTAGTTACCT